GAAGGGAGGGAAAATGGGGCATTACTATTAGCACACATCATGTAGGGGCAGGGAGCACAGGAAAGGCAGTATATACAGAGAAGACAAGTAGTGATTCTATAGCATCTTACTACACTGATGAACAGTGACTGTAATGAGGTATGTAGGGGGGACTTGATAATGGGGGGAGTCTACTAACTATAACGTTGTTCAAGTAATTGTACATTAATGGTATCAAAATTTAAAAATTTAAAAAAAATGCTTATTTCATATTATGATTTTATACTTGGAAAGCACACGTATTGTTTTTACAGTACAAAGGATAGATGATAAACCGCACTGGTTGAGGCAAGGAAAAGATGTGGTGAGCATCTACCAGGGACACCCCCTCCCCGCCAAGCAGAGGGGAGGATTGTGGTTCTAGCAAAATTAAAGGGAAGAGGGCTGAAAGATTTGAGATTTTAGATTAAAAAGAGCAGCAAAACTCCCCAGAATGATCTTCCTACAAAGCATATTTCATCACATCCATCGCTGATTAAAAGCCTCCAAGTGATACCTTCCCAGGATGACCTGTTGAGTAGCAGTGGACGCCCACTGCCTCCTCCACCTCGGGTCTTGGAAACGTCACGCAAGTGGAAAAGGCAAGAAACGAAAGACTTGAGAGAGTATGAGCAGCTTCAATTGTAAGGTCAAGTTTTCATTCTTGAGTTGGATGGCAAGTTCAGAAGTGTTGATTTTATTGGTTTGCTTCATCGTTTACATTTATTGTCTTACATGAGTCAAACGCTGTATGACTTAAAAATACTTAAAGGGAAGAAATGTAGAGATTGAGAAGGAAGGAAGCAGAGGCAAGGCAGATACAAAGACAAGAAGAAAGAACACCTTTGGCTCTGTGCTGCCTAACGGCTACAATCCGGTTCTCAGCGGGGCTTCGCAAGCCCTTTAGACCTAGCCTCCTGCCCTGCTCCTGGTCCCACGCATCCTCCTGGTGAGACCACAGAACTCCCCACCTGCCCCAGACTCCCCGTGCTCCTGCCCAGCGTCACATGCTTGCTCACGCTACCCTCCCACCTGCTGATTCACCCCCTGGGCAGGCCTGGCCTCAGGCACCAGGTCCTAGCTCCCGTGTCCCTCGTGGGAGGCATCCACACTCGCCTGCAGTGGCTCTCACCTGTCTCCCCACCAGGCTGTGAGCCCTAGGAGGGCAGAAAAAAGGCAACTAACACCCACCGTGGGTCTCCTTACCAGGCACTATACGGGCTCACTCAAGAGTGATTTATCCTTCCAGGACCAGCACTGAGCAGAGCAAGCTGGCACACAGGACACAAGCATCTGCTGCCCAGATTAATACCAATGACATAATGATAGATACCCCGACCACTGAGGGTGGCCTCTGCCAGCCACATTCTGCTCAGAGAATACACAGCCACTGGGTCAGGCTGCGAGCGCACCATCTCCAGCACTCCCTACCAAGGCTTACAGTATACTTTGCTCTGCAGGACCATTTGTTACTGTCGCCATAATGAAAACACTGAATATGCGTTGTGATTATCTTAAGAGGAACAGAAACAAAATAAGAACTAAAGTCTCATATACCATAGAAGGAAGGCTCTCTTAAATCGATAAACCAAGAGACAGTGGTTTATGTGTATTAATGTAAAAATATGGAGGAAATTCTTAAAAAAAAATAAAATAAACTCAAGAGTTTTTATATGTTTGTGGAGAGGAGGATTAGAAGGGATGCCAAGCTACTCTTTGTGAAGGCAACCTTGTAGCACTATTTGACTGTCTAGATTATACACGTGGGATGTCGTGATCACATAAAAAGGAGCAGCAGAAGAGAAGACGCACATGGGAAAGAACGGGAGGTTGGAGGGGAGAGAGCTGCTTGGTTCTGTTCAGCTGCGCCAGGCAGTGCCAGTGCCCACCTGGGAATGGCCGGGGGCGGGCGGTGACAAGGCATGAAGAGGTCCCCAACATAACGGCCAGCAGGAGCTGCCACCTCTCATCACCACTACCTCCAGGGTCACTGGCTGGAGTGGTCACAGCTGAAAGTGTCCCTCAGGAACCAGGAGCTTCTGACCAAGCCCCTCCACTTAGGTCATACAGGGGAAAGTTTAGGGTATGGGAGATCATACCCAAGGGTGTTCTCCATGCTGAAAGCTTTACCGGCACGTCTCATTTAACCCCCACACTGACCTTGGAGAGGCACATCCCTATTGTCTCCACTGCACAGATGAGGTAACAGAGGCTCTTAAAGTGAAATGACGCTCTCAGAGCCAGAGGTGGGATTGGGAACTCAGGTCTGTCTCCCCTCTAGACTGAAGCCATGAGGGAGGGGATGGCCAAGTCCATCTGTGCTCACAACTACAGGCCTTAGATGAGCTGGCATGATTAAGTGTTTGACAACTCACTGAATCTGTGTCTGACTCCAAAGGCCAGGCTTTGGGCTCCAAGGCCCGACTCATTATCTCCAAAATGCATTCATGAGCCCATATTTAGTTTCCACAGGGTTCCATGTGCCTCTGCAAACTACCAAGAAATATTTCTAGGGGCCTTTTTTAGGATTCTAGATTCCTCTCACCTGCAAGGAGATTGGATTTGTATACATGTTATGTTTGGGAATCCTCTGTCATTAGAAAAAGTTTTCTGGGAATTCTGTGTGTTTATTTTAGGGATATATTTGAAGCAACCCCTCCCCAGAAAATTAAAGGGCTCCTCTCTTTAATGAGACATTCCAGATCCCTTGGAAGGAGGAGGCGAATGCAGGGATGAGGAAGAGGTCGCAAGGGGATCAGAAGAAAGCTGAGCAGGAAGGTCGGTCACTGGGATTCTCACGGGTTTTCAGATCCACCCACTGAATTCAAAAGGAACCTGTTGAACTATTCTGCCAACGGACATGATTTTGTTCTTAGTTTTTATCTGTTGTTGGGGGGATTTAAGGAGGTGAGAGAAGGGAGAAGAAATCCTTTTGTTGCTTGGTTAAGAACCAGAATAAAATAATCCTTAGCTAGACAGACTGGAGGTCTTATTTCAAGTTTAACTCTACTGCCTACCTAGCTCATGACTTCATGGGGGCTCATGAATTAGTGAATAAATGGAAAGAACAATCAAAGGAAGATGGGATCAGTCCCACAATTTAACTTCTCACTTCTTCAAAGTTAGATATACTTTCCATCGAGCGAAGGCCATCAGTACACAAAACGGATAGGAACTATTTACACTCAAAGAGGCTACTGACACCATTTACACATATAAGGACAAGATATTGTCATACTTCTTGAATACCTTTGGATTGATCTCATTTACTCAAACTGAAACAAATGGAAATCAGCACCATCAAAAGGTATTTAAAGGTATTAAAACCAGACATAATTGAATAAAATTTACCAGATTAGCATTGTCTTCCTAAACATAATCAGTTGACCAAGTCCCTGTGAAATGTAATATTTAAGAGATTTACTATGTCTTTTGGTGAGGAACTAATTCAGTGGAAATATCATATCATTACTTACTCATAAAATCTTTATACAGTATACCTCTTAATATTTCAGGGTAAAGTTCTTCTTTATATAAAAGAATAAAAACTACACATGTATACATGCATGTACACACACACACACACACACACTTAAGGAACCCAGGTTAATACTAGCTTTATTATACTGAAATGCTTTGCACCTTTCCTATATTTTGAGGTAAATGAATTTAAGTATGGATATTATTTTACAGCAATACTTACATGATTTAGTTTTTTCAAAATTTCTATTTCTGTTTCAACATTGAGAACTGGATCCTTTGATAAATAGAATAACATTAGGATTTATTGTTAATAATAATAATAGCAAATATTTTTTAAATATTTATAGTTAGACTTAATTGCATAAAAGCTGCCTGAGTTCCAAACCCAGCTCTACTCATACAAAGAAATGAACGCCTAAAGGTCGATGAATTACATAACTCACCGAAAACCACTCTGCAAAGTGCTTGGCAAATAGTGAGCACCCAATAAATGCCCAGGTCCTATGCCAAGCTCTGTTATTTAAAAGGGTCATCTCACATAAGCCTCAGAGCCCCTGGGTGATGAGGTTCTATAACTGGGTTCTATAATTATCCCCATTTTACAGATGGAGCAACTGAGGCTCAGAGAGAGGCAGCCACTTGCTCCAGTTCCCACATCCAGAAACAAATGTGTTTCCACTGTTCTCATGCTTACCTGGTAAGTTCTGTCTCATGGAATTGTTTATATAGCTGGGGAATTGTTTACATTCATAAAAATGATACAACAAACAAAAACCATAGACAAGAAGGTACTCAATTAAACTGTATAAGGAAAAGGTCAAGTCAGATTTCTACAAACAGAGCAGACACAGGTTCCAATTCACTGCAGGCTGACATATTTACTGAGCCTCTAATGAGAGGAAGCTTCAGGGCCCTGGAGTTGCTCTCGTTACAATTCCAAAAGGATGAATCGAATTACTCAGCCTTACAGGTCACACCCTCCAAAGCAAAGAGGGTATAGAATTACATATCTACGTAAAATGGACTTTGGCTAAGAAACCCAGATGTTTAATTTTAAAAGCCTGCCTCTTCCTGTAAGCTGTTAAACTCATTACCAAGTCAGGGCGTATTCTGATGACAGAGAAGTTTAAAGGAGTCCAGTAAGATTTGGAAGAAGAAATTAAGAAGTAAAATTTTGCTCCAGGACATAGGTATTTTCTTCCTCCCAAAATGGGAAACAAACCCAGAATCACAGGAGAAAAAAGATCTATAACAAAGTGAACACAGAAAGGAAATTCCTCTTGCCATGTGAGAATGGCATTGTGTTGGGGGAGAAAATCTTTAAAGAATGTTAAAGCACAATAGCCAGAAACAGCTGGCCACAAAGGAAAACGTAGTTAGAGGCCACATTTTACATTACTCTGAGGGGTCATGTGTTGAAAGCCCATTTCATCCACACAATAAATGTGTATTACAGAAAATGTAATAAAATGAATGGCTACTCTATAGAGCCCATTAAAATAACTTAATGAGGATTTTTTTTTAAAACCTATAGACACTAAGATATTCATTGCCACATTATCAGGAAGAGCGAAGAATTCGAAACCATCTAAATGATCAGCCAGAGACATGGCTGAATAAATTATGATAAAGCTGATGAGACAGAGATTTATCAAAAAGGGTATATGAGGGAAAAGGTTATACACTAATGCTTATGTGAAAAAGCAGAATACAAAACTACATATATGATTCCAACCATCTAAAAACACGAATTTATATGAACAAAGACTAGAAGGAAAAGAAAAACTGAAACAACTGGGGGTTCCGGTGGGGGGGGGGCCGGATATGGCTGGATTTTTTTTCCCCCTAATTTCCTTTCATTTCTTGTAAAAACAAGTCTTTTAACAACTTGGAAGGGAAAAAAAACTACTTCCTGCTAAGTACATAATTTTGGACAACCAAGTGTTTTTGGAACCAAATTATCTGTTAAGTAGCTTTCTAGGTTAGTTGGATATACTGCGAAATACTCAAAAGTCTTTTATATAAATTCACATTTCTTAACAGCAAACTCTTCCTGACACAGAAGATGACCACACTGAAATCATCTGGGGACGTCAAGGGTTAGTCTCACGGCGGCTGAGCGGTCACAGACACAGGTACTTACGGCCTCTGTCCCAGAGCCAATAGCAAGCTTCTTTTTGCTGATGATTTTTATGGCTACTTTCTTACATGTTTTCCTCTCAAAAGCCAGCTTCACCTCACCACAGGCACCACTACAGAGAAAAACAGAAAGCAGCTGTTAGAATGTTTTTAAAAGGCCCACCACTCCTGACTTGGCCTCAACTATTACAAGTTAAGGACAGTCCCTGTACAACCCTTCTGTCATCCCTGTTTTCAGCAAACACGATGAAACATCACCTGTGTAAAATGTCACGGGCACAGGTGAAGGAGGTCCATCCGGTAACACCGAGTGAGCTGAGTGATACAGACTCAAGACTTACTGTCACCCCAATTGTGAGATTCTCAGAAAGACACAAAGTATGAGAGACATGATTTATCCCAAAGATCAGAGAAACATCAAGTAGAAGAAAGCTCTAGCAACAAGCGCCTGAAACAAGTTAAACAGTGTCTGTCAATGAATTACTTGCATTGATACACTTCTCTTTCTTTTCTCTATCTTCAAAGAAATGCATTAGCAATTGATGCCATGAATTGCACCCTAAATAAAATCTTAATACCTAAGAGACCCAAAGTATTACACAGTTAACTTGCCTGCAGCAAGCTCTCAAAGACTTGCTATAAACTGGAATGTGAATGTTAAATGGAGGAAGGGATGCTACCCAGGATGCCATCTAGTACACAGTTAATCCTACAGAGCTCTGTCCTCTAAAGCTTGGCAGCGGAAGGTAATGGCTATCCCAGTGTCATTCACTCATTACCTGCCTAAAGTAGACTAAAAATTATTGTGGGTTTTGGGGTGGGGTGAGGGGGTTTGACAAGATACCTTTTTTACTGTATATTATATAAATGCATAATATTTACCATAGTAATTTTAAATTGGACAACAGAGTGGCATTGAGTACATGTACATGTGCACCCATCATTCTTATTAGCTCCCCATACTGATAAAGTATTCACTCCCCATTATACCCTTCCCCTGGCCACTGGCAACCACCGATCTGCTTTCTGTTTCTATGGATTTACCCATTCCGAATATCTCATATCAATGGAATCATACAACGTATGGCCCTTTGTGACTGGTTTCTTTCACTTAGTATGTTTTCAAGGTTCATCCATGTTGTAGCATGTATCAATATTTCACTCCTTTTATAGCTAAAAGTCCAGTTGAATAAATGTATCGATTTGCTTATCCATCCATTTTTTGACAGACAAATGGGTGTTTCCACCTTTGGGCTACGTGTACAGAGTTGCAATGGTTCAGACACAAGTTTTTGTTTGTAAAACCTGTTCTTAATTTGGGGAGATACATACTTTGGAGGGGAACTGCTGGTTCATATGCTAATTCTATGTTTACCTTTTTGAGAAGCCACCAAACTATTTCCCACAGTGGCTGCACCGTTTTACATTCCTACCAGTAGCATATAAGGGTTCCAGTTTCTTTGCATTCTCACAAACACTTGTCATTGTGAGTGTGAAGTGGTAACTCTTTGTGGTTTGGATTCGCATTTCCCTAATAACCAGAGACACTAAGCATCTTCTCATGTGGTTTTTGGTCAATTTTGGTCTTCTTTGGAGAAATGTCTATTTAAATCCTTTGCCCATTTTTAAATTGCGTTATCTTTCTGTTGTTGAGTTGTAAGAGCTCTTTATTCTGGATTCTAGATCCTTATCAGCTATATGATTTGTAAATATCTTCTCTCATTCTGTGAGTTGTTTCACTCTCCTGAAAGTGTCTTTTGATGCACAAAAGTTTTTTAAATTTGATGCAATTTATCTACTTTTTTCTTTTGTCGCTTGGGCTTTTAATGCCATATTTAAGAAACTATTACCAAGTCAAAGGTCATGAAGAGTTGTCCCTATGTTTTCTTCTTACACTTTCATAGTTTTCTCTCTTATATTTAGTGTTTTGTTTCATTTAAATTATTTTTTGCATATGGTGTGAGATAATGGTGCATTAACTATTCTTTTTTAAAACCTGCTCAAAACACTTTGGAATTCCCTTCTGCTAACGGTCACCTTTTGCCTGAGAAATCTCCCTTGAGTCCATGTAGCTCTAGTGGAGCATCTCTAATGCGTCTCTAATAGTATAATACCCACTCCTATGACCATGCGTTGGACATGTAACCAAAACTGAGCCATTCAGGGTTTTCCCTGGAATCAAATGCTGATGTTGAGAGAGAAACAGTCTCTTTGCTGTGGTTTCTATAGAAAGAAAATATGAATGTGGGGGCTCCAGGAAACCAGAATTCTGTAGGAAGGCAACAAAGAGTAGATGAATCCAGAGGTGGAGCCAGAGCCCTGGCAACACTATGGGGACCCTTAGATTTAAAGCCAAATAGGTCGTGAGAACTGGAGAGTGAAATAAAGCCCTAAGGGTCTCCTGGCCGGGGTCACCTGACATCAGCTGTGTTCCTGTGTTTCCCAGTTCCAAAAGCCAGTAAATTCCACATTGATGTAAGTTTGCTGCCTGCTAAAAATTGGGAGGATCTGTGTTGAATCCTTCCTTAGAAAAAATAAGCATCCCACACATTTCTTAAGAGTGGGCACAAATTTGGCTCTGGGCTTCCAGGCAGATACACAAATTTGGAAACACAGTGAGTTACTGAATTTAATGTCCATAAACTAAAGTATCTCCCATGGATGGGCACAAAGAGTACACTGTACTTGATTCTATGTGTCAAAAACTGGGTGATTAATTCGTTCTATTATTTTCTACTTCCATGTTTCCAAACATATCAATAAATAGAAAGGCCTTTGAGGCTGGGGGAAGGGGTGGGAGGGTGAAGGACATTGTAGAATGTGGTAAAGGTGTCCTAAATACCCTCCCTAGGGAAGTGGTTCTCAAAGTATGACCAGGTGTCCCCCAAGACCCTTTCAGAATATCCAAAAATCAAAACAATTTTCAGGATAATACTAAAACATTATTTGCCTTTTTCATTCTCATTGTCTTATGAGTGCACAGTTTTCCAGAGGTTACATGGTATGTGCTAATATAACAGACTGAATGACGAAGCAAGCATCAGGCTCTCGCCATCTTCCAGTAAACCAGACCTCAAAGAGATGTACAAAAATAAATCTCTCTTCCCACTAACCTTATTTTAAATAATTATTTTTCATTAAAAAATATTATTTAACATGGGAGCTTATTTTTTAATGAATTAATAAATATTATTAACATGTCTCCATTTTAATTTCAAATATGTAATAGCTATACATATAAGCTATTGTGGTTCTCTGGGGTCCTTAGTAATTTTTAAGAGTGTAAGGGGTCCTGAGAAGAAAAATTTTGAGAACTTTGTCCTATTTAATGATCAGGTTCATTTCCCTTCCCAAGATACCATGCATTCTAAAGAGGACAGAAATGCAATATATGCTTCTTTTTCGAAGTTAACGAAAATCTTCTAAAATTAATTGTGGCAAAAGTTTCACATTCTTAACACATTAAAAACCACTGAAGTGTACGCTTTAAATGAGTGAATTGTATGGTATGTGAATAATGTCCCAATAAAACTGCTTTCAAAAAGTTATCACAGATAAAATTTATAAGGGAAAACTGTTCATTTCAGTTGATCACTACCAAATAAATCAATGACATGCCTATCACAAATAGGTGCCCTACAAATATTTTATGAATAGAAAATGTATGTTATAAAACCAGAACAAAAAACAACAAATGACAAATGTTTAGAAAAGAATTAAGTACAATTTCCATAAAAAATTACCTTCCAAGAGTTTTTGACATGATGTATTCGTCTCTTAACTCCTTAGGATAAACTGACTGATCATCTACAGTCAGATCAAAAAATACAAAAACTAAGGAAAAAGGGAAGAAATAGGTCTTATTCATTCAATAAAGAAAAGATAAATGGTCTTAAAATTTAGTAAACACATGGAATATAATTGTTTCTAATTACATTTAATATCTAACCCTAAGGGAATTATTTAGCTAGGCTAACACACATCCTGCAACCCATGGAAAATGATAGTCAAATTTCATTCTTCTATGGAAACACAAGGCTTCATTCTCACTAAAAGACAAGAAATCCATACATAAACGTTAGTCTTATTCCTTGACCTCAGGATATTAATCAATTGCACTAATATAAAATACCCATGCAGATTAGCATAAAAACCAAAGAACAATTAGTTTGAGCCTAGAAAAAATACTCTAGGCAAGTAAATAAACATTCCAATAAAAATCAGACCACAGGTCGATACTAGTGTACTCTTTTAGCCATTTATACTTTTACATATCTGGTATTTTGTAAAGTTACATAAATAGCACTTTCCCCCAAAAGAACGTTTATTTCTCCATTATTCAGGCAGTATCTCAGAAAAAGATAACTACTCCTTTAGTAATTTCACCATCCACATGGGCCAAGCCTGTAATCAGTTATCAAACATTTCAATTCTATAAAGTCAACAACGGTAAATTCGAAACTGCCTATATTATCCTGAAAGAGTGAGATTTGTTAAGACCCCTTGAGTTTTTCAGATTTCAGGTGATGAATCCTGGCCTCCCTGGAGAAACCTGGCACACACATCTAAGCCACCTGAGTGCGCTTCATTCCCGGCTGGTCCACACAGGGCAGACATGCCTAGTCAATGAGACCCACCGGCCACGCAGAAACTGATCCTCTATCCTTGTGGATATTTATGGACATACATGTTCCAGCAACATCTGAGAATCTGGGAATTTGAAAGGCTCTGGAGATGTCATTTCTCCCAAATGTCAAGGCCTACCTCAGGGGCTGCAAACTCAGTTGCCCACACAAACCAGGAAGGTCATGGACACAGGTAAAACCTGGGTTGAGTGTAAGACAATGTGGAGCAGTGGGAATTTTAAAAGAAAACACACCACCTATCTAAAGGAGGGAGCCCCTACTCAGAACCTGTAAATCCTCTAGTTATGGGACCATAGGCTCAGTGTGGCCAGATATTGCACCTTTTCAAATAAATCTTGATTTTGATGTTAAAGTACCAATATCAGCAAACGCCTAAGTAAGTGTCAATAGGCTGAATGTGATCTGCAGAGTACCAGTCTGATCTGTTTCGATCATGGCCACTGTTAGCCTATATGACCCTTTTGTTCAAATCAGAAAGTACCCTAATGGGTAGACCAATTAGAAAAAGGGGGCACTCAACCTGTCAAGTGGAAGACAGGCCAAATTTCAGTGCCTAGTTGCCCCCTTGACCAGGTGCTCTCAAACAGCAAAACCCTAGGCAGCTGCCTATCTTCTAAAATTAATTGTGGCAAAAGTTTCACATTCTTAACACATTAAAAACCACTGAAGTGTACGCTTTAAATGAGTGAATTGTATGGTATGTGAATAATGTCCCAATAAAACTGCTTTCAAAAAGTTATCACAGATAAAATTTATAAGGGAAAACTGTTCATTTCAGTTGATCACTACCAAATAAATCAATGACATGCCTATCACAAATAGGTGCCCTACAAATATTTTATGAATAGAAAATGTATGTTATAAAACCAGAACAAAAAACAACAAATGACAAATGTTTAGAAAAGAATTAAGTACAATTTCCATAAAAAATTACCTTCCAAGAGTTTTTGACATGATGTATTCGTCTCTTAACTCCTTAGGATAAACTGACTGATCATCTACAGTCAGATCAAAAAATACAAAAACTAAGGAAAAAGGGAAGAAATAGGTCTTATTCATTCAATAAAGAAAAGATAAATGGTCTTAAAATTTAGTAAACACATGGAATATAATTGTTTCTAATTACATTTAATATCTAACCCTAAGGGAATTATTTAGCTAGGCTAACACACATCCTGCAACCCATGGAAAATGATAGTCAAATTTCATTCTTCTATGGAAACACAAGGCTTCATTCTCACTAAAAGACAAGAAATCCATACATAAACGTTAGTCTTATTCCTTGACCTCAGGATATTAATCAATTGCACTAATATAAAATACCCATGCAGATTAGCATAAAAACCAAAGAACAATTAGTTTGAGCCTAGAAAAAATACTCTAGGCAAGTAAATAAACATTCCAATAAAAATCAGACCACAGGTCGATACTAGTGTACTCTTTTAGCCATTTATACTTTTACATATCTGGTATTTTGTAAAGTTACATAAATAGCACTTTCCCCCAAAAGAACGTTTATTTCTCCATTATTCAGGCAGTATCTCAGAAAAAGATAACTACTCCTTTAGTAATTTCACCATCCACATGGGCCAAGCCTGTAATCAGTTATCAAACATTTCAATTCTATAAAGTCAACAACGGTAAATTCGAAACTGCCTATATTATCCTGAAAGAGTGAGATTTGTTAAGACCCCTTGAGTTTTTCAGATTTCAGGTGATGAATCCTGGCCTCCCTGGAGAAACCTGGCACACACATCTAAGCCACCTGAGTGCGCTTCATTCCCGGCTGGTCCACACAGGGCAGACATGCCTAGTCAATGAGACCCACCGGCCACGCAGAAACTGATCCTCTATCCTTGTGGATATTTATGGACATACATGTTCCAGCAACATCTGAGAATCTGGGAATTTGAAAGGCTCTGGAGATGTCATTTCTCCCAAATGTCAAGGCCTACCTCAGGGGCTGCAAACTCAGTTGCCCACACAAACCAGGAAGGTCATGGACACAGGTAAAACCTGGGTTGAGTGTAAGACAATGTGGAGCAGTGGGAATTTTAAAAGAAAACACACCACCTATCTAAAGGAGGGAGCCCCTACTCAGAACCTGTAAATCCTCTAGTTATGGGACCATAGGCTCAGTGTGGCCAGATATTGCACCTTTTCAAATAAATCTTGATTTTGATGTTAAAGTACCAATATCAGCAAACGCCTAAGTAAGTGTCAATAGGCTGAATGTGATCTGCAGAGTACCAGTCTGATCTGTTTCGATCATGGCCACTGTTAGCCTATATGACCCTTTTGTTCAAATCAGAAAGTACCCTAATGGGTAGACCAATTAGAAAAAGGGGGCACTCAACCTGTCAAGTGGAAGACAGGCCAAATTTCAGTGCCTAGTTGCCCCCTTGACCAGGTGCTCTCAAACAGCAAAACCCTAGGCAGCTGCCCTGACTATAATGACCATCAGATAGAAAACAAAAAAGTCAGAAACAGGGAAAACTAAGTCTATCGTAAAATGCTCTGTAGGATGCCCAGTTCCCAGATGCCAAGCTGAAGACCGATGGCATGAGAACTATGGGGGGAGGATTTTTTAACCCCAGCAACCACTGGATCGGCATCAACAAGAGACCATCTGTGGGCATCTGTGTTTTCACGGTATTACCTACATACACATATACTATGAGTCATTCAACTCTCAGATCATTTTGGGAAGTTCTGTGGGGTTTTTTTTAATCAAAGAAAAGTACTCCTCTTGTCCAAAGATTTAAAATCACCATGAGCTGTGTTTAACTCTGTAGGTTGTTTTTCTTTCTTTTGCGCTAAATGACAATTGTTCATTTTAGATGTGGTATCCATGAAGTTTTAGTACTTGTAGAACGCTGGCTGATGAGAACGAGACACATCTCCACTTTCAGAGAACAACCATGTGGCGTCTAAGGTGCAAGGTCTAAACGGAAATTCTTACAGAAAAACCCATAGCGTAACATCTGGCATATAATAGGAGTTCAATACACATATGGGGAAATTAATGAAGGAATGAAGAAAGGGAAGAATGAGAAGGGAGGGAGATGAATAAATGGTCGGAAAAAAACCTCATAGACATTTAAGACTGATGTGGTATGAACTGCATGTATCAATAAACTATGAACTAGCTGAAGCAATATGATAACTCAATTGACATCATATGGCTTTAAATAGAACGAACCAAACCAATTAAACATCAGAAAATCTGTCTTGGCAGAACTTTTTCTTAATTTAAAAATGCAACTAGGAATGAGCTGAATCTCAAATGCTAATCTACTTACTTTACCTAAACCTTACTCTGCAAAGGGCACAATGTCAACTTTCCTTTCACATCAGAGGAAAAAAATGCAGTAACCGTAAGATAATAATATTACCTTTATTACTCCATACTGAAAGTGCAATTTCAGAATTGTTACTCAAAGGAAGGCGTCTTCCTTTCCCTACAAGCTCTCTATTTACAAAGGTTCCATTTCCACTGTGATCTTCTATATATGCGATGTAAGTGTGTTTAGGACCCATTTCCTAAAATAGAGCATATTTTATTTTAAAGTTTTAAGAGTGGACCATTTTAGTGGGAATACCTAAGAGTGATGACTAGATTACCAGCTCTCCCAAACAGATGGATAACTGTCACCTACTCTGAAAATCCGGAAGTGTTTCTTGCTGTAAGTCCGGTATTTATCCGTTCTTTTCAGCAGTGGTCCATCAAAGCAATATTCACAGCTTCTATCTCTCCCAAACCAGTAGCTGTCATTCACACACTCTGTAACACAAAAGCACACCCCAGAGGGCTGTTGAATTTCGTGAATCAGACACCTTTAAACACTGCTCATAAAATCTACTTGCAGGAAAATTGTCCCAAGAAGGCAATCAAAATTGTAGATTTGTTTATCAAGATTTTTTAAGATTAAAAAGGAGGGGGGGAACCCCAAATTTTCCAATGAGTTTGGTAAGTTATGGCTTATACATAACCATGGAAGAACAAGTAGTCATTAAAAGCTCTCAATTTTTAATGATTTGGAAAAATACATCTGATATAATAATAACTCCCTGCTTATTACCCTGCTGACGCTTCCCATCCCAGTTAGTATAAAAACCTGCACACCTCCTCGTGGCAGGCTAGATGCTCAGGATCTGGCTCCTGCTTCCCTCCCAGCTTTGCCTTGTATCCATCTCCTTGGTCACTGCAACACCTGTCCCACTAGCCTCCTTTCACTGGCCCCGATATGCTGGGCTCAGCCTCCTCTATGGCCTTTGCACTCTTCATTCCCAGCTATCTGAATGGTCATCTTGCTTTTTGCATCTGAACTCAAATCTCTATCATCTTCCACTCAGCTTTCTGTATAAAACAGACCCTCACCTCACCCACCACCCACCAAATCAGAATGCTATCTTGCTTTGCTTCCCTCTAAGTATGGACCAGTACTAGAAATTCTCTTGATTATGTGAATATGATCTCCCTACACTCCCGTTAGAACAAACTCCAGGAAGACAGTCTTGGGTCTCTCATTTAGGAGTATAGCTCCAGCACCTAGGACAATGCATACGGTAAGCTAGTAAATGTGAAAGACAGACAGGGAAAATATGAGCAACTCATATTCCAAAGGATTCATTTCCCTAACATGTAAAGTTTCTCCAAAGCAGTAAGACAATCCAGTAGAAACTGTAAAAAGGAAATGAACAAGTAATTTACAAGAGAGAAATACAAATGGCTCAAACATATGAAGATAGCTGACTCAATATGAGTAATTTTAAAAACAAAAAAATACATTAAGATTCCACATTTTAATTAGCAGATTAACAAAAATCAAAAGGTTTCCTATTATACTGTTTGCAAGAGAGATGAAGCAGTTACTCTCATATATTGCCAACAAGAATATAATTTATACACCGAATATAACTTGGAGTCCAGGCACGATAATTTGGCAACATCTATCAAAATTACATATGCAACCACTTCACACCCATGAAGATGGCTATAATAAAAACTAATAAATAACAAGTGTCGGCAAAGATACAAAGAACTTGGAACCCTCATACATTGCTGGTGGGGATATAAAATGGTACAGTCACTGTGGAAAACAGTTTGTGGTTCCTCAAAAAGTTAAACTTTTTGAACTGCCTTATGACTCAGCAAATTCACTCCTCCGTATATACCCAAAAGAACTGAAATCGGTCCCCAAATAAACCCTTGTACAAGAGTACTCACACCAGGATTATTCCCAATAGCCAAATGATACAAACACAACTGTCCCTCTGTGAATGAATGGATAAACAAATCAAGGTATCTATCTATAATGGGATATATTCAGCCATAAAAAGGAATAAATGCTGTAACTCATGCACATTATAACATGGCTGAACCTTGAAAACCTTATGCTAAGCGAAAGAAGTCAGACACAAAAGGCAAATGTATGATTGCATTTATATGAAATATTTATAAAAGTTAAATCTATAGAAATGAAATGCAAATTGGTGGCTGCTGGGGACAGAAGGAGAGAGTAATGAGGAGCAACTGCTTAATGGGTAGAGGGTTTTATTGTAACAGAAATGTTTTGAAACTAGACAAAGGTGGTAAATGTGTATATAATAAAGGCCACTGAATGTTCACTTCAATTTTTAAAAATTACAAATCCAAACACCCATTGGGCCCAGAAATTATTTTTGTAACAAAAGATTATAAGCAATTAAATTTCCATTAGTAAGGAGCTAGTTCAATAAATGTATCTATCTATAAAAGGAAAGATCCTTACATTCCGAGAGAAGGATGTCTAAGAAGCCAGTTGCAACCAATGCATAATGAGCTACAATTAGTATAAAAAGTAAAGGGAGAAAAAAGGAACAGACATGTAACCATATGGCAGTGTCCCTTACAAGGCAGAGCCATGCCTACTCTGATCCAGCAATGTGACTGGCACCCTGCCCTAGAGAGACATCTGCCGAGTGGGGGAGGAGACACTACGAGGATGTTCACTGCAGTCTTTCTTACAGGAGCAAAAACTGGAAACTACCTGGTAAGTACCTGTTGATAAGGCAAGGAATAAATGAACCATGGTTGTTTCTACTAGAAACCAGGAGCTTCCGGGGCAGCTGGGAAAAGGAAGGGCATGGAGAGTTCATGAGGACACTAACAGTCCAGGGACGGTGGAGAGCACGGGGCAGCCGCCCGTGAAGGGCCTGCTCGGGCCTCTGCTCATCAGGAGAGCCCTCAGACAGACGCGTGGAGGAGGGCGGGGGCAGCGAGATAGGAATCAGAGACCACAAGCTCCCAGTGAGGCATTCAGAGGTATGGACCCAAGGAAGGATGGGCCCCTCTCCCAGCAGAAAGGAAAGAGGTGCACATGAGAGAGTGTTTAGGGAAAGGAACAGATGTATTTGTTTTGTCAAGAGAATGAAAATTTACGTAACTCATTCTCCTTTGTCAGGGAGTCCTGACCTCCTCAAAGATCAAACTCACAGTTCTCCTTCTCAGAGGGATCACTGAAGAAATTAAGGCCTCAAGGAGAAGTCAGTCTATCTTTTCCTTTGATCCCATTCAATCCTGACCTCTGGCCTATCTCCCTTGTCTTTGCTTATTTCCCCATTTTACAGATGAGGACAGCAATGTTCAGAGAGGCGGCATCACCTGCTTGAGGTCACACAGCTAGGAAGGAACACAGCTAGGACCTGAACCCATGTCTTTCTGATTACAGCACCCTTACCCTTCTCCCACCCACCAGCTAGTCTCACCATTATTTCTTCCCATTCAAGCATTTTTAATCTCTCATCAGCTTCTCTCACACCCATTTCAAACAGGAACAAGAACACTTAGGCATAAATTTAACAAAACAAATGCAAGTCTTATACTCTAAAAACTACAAAAAAAATTCAAAGACCTGTATAAGTATTCATATATTGGGAGACTTAATATTATAAAGATGGCAAAATGCCCAAACCACAGATTTTACCATCTCTATCAAAATCCTAGCAAAATATGTATCTGGTAAGAAAGAACACATACAAATCAGTAACAAAAAAACAAGTTTAATTAAAAATGAGCAAAGGATCTGAACAGACATTTCTCCAAAGAAGATATAAAAAAGACCAATAAGCACATGAAAAGATGTTTAATTATCATTAGCCATCAGGGAAATGCAAATCAAAACCAGAATGAGATACCACGTCAAACCTTCTGGGATGACTATAATAAAAGAGACAGATAATAAGTCGGGGTGAAATGTGGAGAAACTGGAACCCTGATACATGGCTGGTGGGAACAGAGAATGGTGCCACTGCTGTGGAAAAGTCTGATGACTCCTTAAAAAGTTAAACACAGAATTACCATATTATCCAGTGATTCCACTCCTAGGCATAAACCAAAAAAAATTGAAAACAGGGATTCAAACATAGTGTATGTAAATACTCATACAGCATTGCAAAATAACCAAAAGGTACAAATAGCCTGTGTCCATCATCAGTACATATATACAATGGAATGATATTCAGCCATAGAAAGATACAAAGTTCTGACAAATACACAGGAATGAACTTTTAAAATATTATGCTAAGTGAAACAGCCAGACACAAAAGGACAAATCTTATTACCTCACCTACAAAAATATGTAAAACAGGTAAACTCACAGACACAGAGTGTAGAAATTATCAGAGGAATTCAATGGGAAAAGGACAATCTCTTCAACAAATAGCGTCAGGAAAACTGGATAACCAAATGCACAATAAAAAAACTGAACTCCATCTATTGCCACTCACAAAAATTAACTTGAAATGGATTAAACACAAACTTAAGAATCAAAACTATAAAACAAATAGAAGAAAACAAGAAAAAAGCTCCCTAACATGGGTCTTGGCACCCCTTTTTGGGTAAGCCACCAAACGCACAAGCAACAAAAGTAAAAATTACTAAGTGGGACGATATCAGACTAAAAAGCTTCTACACAGCAAAAGAAACAATCAACAACATGAAAAGGCAACCTAGAGAATGGAAGAAAATATTTGCACATCACATATCTGGTAAGGGGTTAATATCCAAAATATATAAAGAACTCACACAACTCAGTAGCAGAAAATGAAACAATCCAACTAAAAAATAGGAAGAAGAACTATATAGACCTTTTGCCAAAGATGACATCCAAATGGCCAACAGGTACAAGAAAAGGTACTTACTGAGCATCACTAATTACCAGAGAAACCAAAACCAAAACCACAATGAGCTATCACCTCACAACTGTTAGAATGGCTATCATCAAAAAAACAGAGACTTGATCAAGGGTTGGAGTGGATATGGAGAAAAGGGGACCCTCACGCACCACTGTTGGGATATAAATCAGTGCAGCCATTAGGGAAGATAGTAACAAGGTTCCTCAGAAAATTAAAAATAGAACTGCCACATGATGCAGTAATTCCACTTCTGCGTATTTGTCCGAAGAAAATGAAAACACTAACTCAAAAAAAGTTATATGCACCTGCCATGTTCACTGCATAATTGTTTACAATAGCCTAGACATGGAAGCAGGTTACATGTCCATCAGTGAATGAAAAGATAAAGAAAATGTAATGTATATATACAATGGATTATTTAGCCATAAAATAATCTTGCCATCAGACAACATGAATGGATTATGCTAAGTGAAATAAGTCAGAGAAAGGCAAATACTGTGTCATCTCACTTATATGTGGAATCTAAAAACCTAAACTCATAGAAACAGGGAGTAGAGTAGTGGTTACCAGGGCCTGGGGGATAGGGGAAATGGGGAGATGTGGGTCAAAGGGTACAAATTTCTGGCTATAAGATGAATAAGTTCTGGGAAGCTAATGTACAGCATGGTGATTATAGTTAATAATACTATATTATATATTTGAAAGCTGCTAAGAAAGAGAGTAATCTTAAATGTTCTCACCACAAAAAAAAAAAGTAATTATGTGATGTGATAGAGATATTAACTAACACTATGGTGGTAATCATTTTGCAACATATAAGTGTATCAAATCAACACATTGTACACCTAAAATTTACACAATGTTATATGTCAATTATATCTCAGAAAGCTGGGGGAAAAGAAATTACCAGAGGAAAAATTTGAGAAATAAATAATGGTGATGGCTGCACAACATTCTGCCACTAAACTGTATACTTAATAATTAACTGGCAAAATTTCTTACATTTTACAATAAAAAAATAAACATTAAAAAAATACTTGGACATAAGATTGTATATCAATGATACCTTAATAAAAAAAATACTTAGGCATAAGTTTTCATTTTTTTTTATGTTGGTATCATTAATATACACTTACATGAACAACATTGTGGTCACTAGATTCCCCCCATTATCAAGTCCCCACCACATACCCCATTACAGTCACTGTCCATCAGCGTAGTAAGATGCTATAGTCACTTGTCTTCTCTGTGTTGTACAGCCCTTCCTGTGCCCTCCCCACATTATGTGTGCTAATCATAATGCCCCTTTTTCCCCTTATCTTGGGCATAAGTTTCTTAAGCGCAAGATTTGCACACCGAAAACTATAAAACATCATTGAAAGAAATTGAAGACCTAAATAAATGGAAAGACGGCCCATGTTCATAGATTAAAAGATTTAATATTAAGATATTAATACTTCTCAAATTGATCTACAGATTCCATCTAATTCCTATGAAAATCGCAGCTCCCTTCTTTGCAGAAAGTGACAAGCTTATCCTAAAATTCATGGAAACATAGTGGAGCCAGAATAATCAAAACAATCTTGAAAAAGAGGCACACATTGGAACACACCCCTGGACTTCAAAACTTACTACAAAGCTAAAGTAGTCAAAATTTTGCAGTACTGGCGTTAAGGATAAACATATAGATCAATGGAATAAACCCTCACATTCCTATTCAAATAATTTTTGGTAAGTGTACCAAGACCATTCAGTGAGGAAGGAATAGTCTTGTCAAGAAATAGTGCTCAGACAACTAGATACTCATGTGCTAAAGGATGAATTTAGACCCTACCTCATACCATATACAAGAATCAACTCAAAACGGATCAATGTAAGAGCTAAACCTGTATCTAGAAGCGTAGGTGTCAATCAATCAATAACAATAAACAGCTTCTATTTATTGAGCATCTATTTTATGCTAGTTACCCTATCCGGCTCTTTATATAATATCTCACCTTTAAAGGTGATCATCCCATTTCACCCTTTCAATCACCATGTTTCCCACTCACCATACATAAGCCTTAAGCCTATCTTAGAAATATGGCTTAACTGAGTGAAAAATAGCTTCAAATGTTTACCTCGAAATTTAAATTGTGCATATGAATTTTGCTATATTATTTCTCCATTTTTTATTGTTTTTTCAAGTTATTGAAGTTGAACATGAAATAAAAAGACTGACAAGGTACTAATGGCACATTGGTCATTCATTTATTTATGTTACAATTTTCCATCCCATTAATGTCAAGTTCAAATTTTTTTTTAATGAAGGGATAATTTTAATCTAAGAGGGAGGAAAAATGTCATTTCAAACACATCCACAGCAAAACTTTACTACTGGAATCAGGATGTGTCAAGAGTGGAAGAATATATTTAAATTTAAATTGCAAGGCTGGCTATTTTAAGGTAAAACAAGAATGTCCACAATAGCTTCCCCTAACCTGAAACTGTAAAACTAACACTCTAAAGTTGCCACATACCACAGCACGGATTAGGTGGTGAAGTTCCTGTGATTAGGTGATAAATGTTTGCGAGTTTGCATGAACCTGCATTTTTCTAGGCAAAGGATCCACAGCTCTCTTCAGATGCAAATGCCCATTTGTGGAAAGAATAATGAAGGGGACCCACAGGTGGTAAGATCCAGTGGGACTACCCAAACTAATTCCTTGGTTTCATCCTTCATTACTTTCAAACTCCAGAATCAGTCCAGGAGTGTCTTGAGCTTTCTGCTGCAACAACTTTATATGATTGTTTTTCCATACAAAATAATATACTCTATAGCAAAGGGTCTTACCAAGACTGGGGAATCCATCCTGAAGGGCCCATAATCGAGCCCAAGGGGCAGGGCTGGGCTCCTCAGGTTCTTGGTCCTCGGGAATAGAACAGAGTTCCTGAGTGGACACTGTGTCTAAGGAGCTCAGTGTCCCTGAGCTGGAGTGAGAGGACTGGCTAGACGTGGGCACTGTGCTGGTGGAGGGGTTGGATGTGCTCTGGGTCTGTGAGGAGAGGCCATGGGATTGTGAGAAGCCACCTTGGGATTGTGAGCAGGCACCACTGCCACGGGACTGCGGACACTCCACATCTGTCTCCAGAGACATCAGGACCTCAAAAAGAAGTGTTCGACAATAAGGTGAGTTTCAAGGAACAAGACTTAAAGTACAACAGTAAAGGATGGGCGTATTACAACAAAAGAACTAAAATATAAAAATAAAACATCCAGGGCAGGCATGCTCTGCAAAAATCTAAAATCTAAAATCTAAAAGTCTCCATCTGTTGTTCTGGGCTGAGCTTTCATGAGATCACTTTCACTGGGTCAGCTTCTTGTCTGATCAGCCACAAACCACAGGGGAAAAAAAAATTTTTTTTTTTAAAGGTTGTAAATAAGTAAAAAGCAACGAAACTGAGTTTGGGAGGAGAGACTCACAACAGCTTATATTCATCCAATTTTTAAAAACTAGAAATGAAATCTAAAATGCATTCATTAATACAATCAATACTACACTTCAATTTCGTATGTTTTGGACCAGGAAAGAAAGGGGAAGGGTAGGTGACCTGAGAAAGAAAATGGGCAAACAGAAACCATATAGTAACTCACTGCAGCACTCGTCAAGTGGTCATTTACTTAAAATGAAGCCGATTCCCCTGTCCCCTGAAAGCCTGCTCCCGGAAGTTAAGGACGTGTCCTGCTTATTCATTCTAAATTCCTAGTCTCCTAAGGACCAGGCCTCTTAACGAGGCAGAACGCAAAGAAGACTGCTCTAAACAACTTCACCTAGCCCTTTGTGATGCAAAGTAACTATGGAGCACATCTTTTCAGCATCTTAAATGACTTTGCAGCCCAAGAGAATCCTGCAGAAACCGTTTTTTGAGTCACAGGAGACCATAACATAGGTTCCCACCTTGTTTTAGAATTAATTTAATGGACAGTTAAACTCTGATAACAGAACCTACAGTAAAGTCAAAATCACTTTCAATCCCTAACTTCTAATATTCCCTACTATCTAACTGAAAAATAAAAAAGCATTCTCTCCAGATCCACACGCTCAGGTTCCTCCTCCAGAATACAGTAAACATTACTCACACTGACTGCATTTACACAGCCTTCCAGACGCAAAGATCCTGATGAGTTTTCCTTAACACACACCAGGAAGGTGAGGCCAGCTCTGAGTCTGTCCCTCCAGAACCTGCTGCTCTAATACTACCTTAGCCAAGGCTGTGTCTTCCTGCAGCTTTTTGAGCAAGACTTCTCCGCCCTAAAAAATGGCAAAAGACAGTGTGTCAAGATATACCTGCTACCATCACTCGTTGAGAAGTTAAGACTCCACCAGTCAGGGGCCATATTAGCTTCCACCATGTGGGGGAAGTACAGTGGAGTAGTTAAAAGGCAAACAGGTCTGGGGTCAGATGCCTGAGTCAATCTTTGCATGACCTTTAAGTAGATTATAACGTGTCTGAGCCAGTTTCCTTATCTGAAAAAAACACAGATAGAGCTTGTGGATTAAATGAGAGGTGTGAATGCTTCTCCACCAGTGATGCTTGGTAATTGGGAGAACGGAATTCAAGTCCCCAAGAATCCGAAAGCCAGAAAAGGCCTTATAAGTGCAACACAATTTTTTTTTCCTAAATAAATAAACTGAGTCCCATGGAGAACTGGTGCCCTCCTACCTTCTTGCCACCCGCTTCCACACACTTACTTGGTGAACACTCGCAGGGCATCCTCCTACACAAGTCAATGTGTTTCCAATTCATGCGGCGCCTAGCACCTAGAGTTGGTTCACAACAGGTACTTTCGAGATTGAACCTAAAGTATGGTAATAATTACTAGCATTTAGAGAGCCCTTTACAAAGCAACTTTGTTCTAACTTTGAAGAGCACAACTTTGCTCTTTCTTATCCTGTGCGTTTGGGCACGTTTCAGCTTGCATGTAATACAGGAAATGAACTTCACCTCTAAGTTCATCTACAAAGAAGGAAGAGAGTCGCCCACGCATTCCTCTCCCCTCTTCCGAGCTTAAAAGGCCGACAAAGCGAAAGCTTGGGCGATTTCCCTCGCACTAAGGCTGCATGAGGACGGGATTCGAACCCCCAAACCGTACAAGAGAAGCTCCCCGCCGCTATAACTCACCGCGTGAGCCCACCAGAAACCGCAAACTCAGATCAGCCGCAGCCGGCCGTGGCGCTAAACCAGCACATACAAACTCCACCCTCAGCCAATCAAAACACCCCTCCGCCGCCGCCGGACCAATGAGCAGCAGCGGATATGGCTAAGCACGCGAAGGCTCAATGCTTGCTGGGAGTTGCAGTTTAATGTGGAACGGGACTGGGAATCCAGGTTTTCCCCCGCTCCCTCCCCCGGCGGATCCCGCCCCCTCAGCTCCGCAGCCAATCAGCAGCACCGGTCTGGTCGGCAGCTCTCCCTTTTCTTCCCCCTGCGAAGTGGCCGCGGCGAGATAGGCCGCGGGCCCGATGTGGGGCGGATGGGCTGTGCCCCTCCTCCGTGTATGGAGGTTACGGCCAGCAGGGACTCTTGCAAGGCGACCGCTAAACTGCAAGGATGCATCGCTGGCGGGAAGCAACTCCCCGCAGTGTTGGAACTGCGGCCGCCGCGGGAGCCCCGTGCGGGGGAACGGGTTCTTCTGTCCGCAGTGCCGCGCGCTGCAACCACCGGACTCCACTCGAGACTACTTCAGCCTCATGGACTGGTACGGGGGCCGGTTTCGGGAGACGCGCCGGGGCGTGGGAGACGTCCGGGGCCGACGGGCGAGAGGGGTGGGCCCGTCCGGCTCGGCCAGGAGAGGGCGGGACGCGTTAGGTAGGGGGTGGAGCCCCGATGCAGGCGGGGGCCCGGGGACGGGACGGTGGGATGTGTCCTGAAACAGAGGAAATGGAGGGCCTGGCCGTTGACGGATGGAGGCTAGAGTGGAGGAAGGACTGGCGGGCAGGGAAGGAAGTTAGGGGAACCGAGGGACGGAGGCCTCAGGGAAAGGCAACTCGAGGGGCGGAGCCCAAGGGAAGAATACTGGAAAAAGCCGGGGAAAAAGACACTTGAGGGGTAGGGTTCAAATGGTCCTGGTTGGGTTGAGACTTCTGAGAGGAGTGCTCTGAGATGTTATCCAAAATAAGGAGGTAAAGGGGCTTCCCGGCTGGTGAACACCGGAGTGGTGCCCCGGGAGGGGGCATGAAAGCCCCCTGCCTTCTCCCAGTGCCTTGCCCTATCCATCTCTTAAATCGGACTGTTCTGAGTTACAGCCTTTTACAATAAGCGAGTACTCTACTAAGGAAAACAAAAATAAGTAAATAGGGCATAAAAGCACCCAAAAATTTGGTATTGTGGGCAGAGTCTAAGGGAAAAGTGAGAATTGAGGAAGAGGGTCTGGGAAATGGGTGTATTTTCCTAGCTTCCTCCAAAGGTTGAGGACCTCAGAGGTAAGTTTGGGCGGAGCAAAACTGTTGAGATAGGGCAAGCTCTGGGAATAGAAAGCAGAAAGGCCTGGATTGAAATTGAGACAGAGAGGAAGGGACCTGGGCCTTGGAAAGATAGGTCAGGATTTGGGAATACCCCTTACCCTTAACTCTGAGATCTGCCCCCACCAGTCACTGTGCCCTTCTGACGGGCTGCAGTAACACTGCCCTTTAGTCCCTCAAGCCTGCCAAACTTGTTCCTACCTCAGGGACTTTGCATGTCCCCCTCTGCCTGGATAACTCTCTCCTCTGATTTTTTATTACCCCTCCTCATCTTTCAGGTCTCAGGTCATTGTTGTCTCTTGGCGCTCCACATCTACCACTGTCTCTGATCCTATTCTCTTTTCCTTCACAGCACCTACAACTTTATGAAGTTATCTCTGCCTGCATGTTTAATCTTCCCTCATGAGAAATGACCCAGGCCCATAGTATATAAATCTATAAATATTTGATAAATCAGTTTCATCTAATTTCCTTCCAGCAACCGTTCCTTCAGAGTTGATACTGTGAAGCTCCAGCAAAGGTACCAGCAACTACAGCGCCTTATCCACCCAGATTTCTTCAGCCAGAGGTCTCAGGTAGATTATTGGCCGCTCCTAATCATACCTGAACACATGTGCACAGTGGGTGGGTGGCAGTGGCCCTGTGGTCATGTGATTATCAGGGACAAGCTGGACAACGAGCCCTACCTTGGAGCAGTCTGACCCAGGACAGCAGGCCTTGGGCTGGTCCTGCAGTCCCAGCTTTCACCTGACTCCCAGCAGAATTAGAACCCATCAGTTGAAAATAAAGACAGCTCATCCTGCACCAGTTTTCCTTTGGCCACTTCCATAGATGCCTACCCATCAGTATTTTAAGCAACAGTTTGTGAATGTAACATAGCTGATTTGCATGGTAATAAGACTCTTCATCTCCACTAACAGCCTGAAAAGGACTTCTCAGAGAAGCATTCAACCCTGGTGAATGATGCCTATAAGACCCTCCTGGCCCCCCTGAGCAGAGGATTATACCTTGTAAGGTGATTTCTCAAACCTATATGTGACTGCATGGTGTCCATTGTGCTGTTGGACAGCTGCTCCCCTATGTTCAGCAGATGAGAGCTTGAGACTTTGAGCTACTCCGGAGACCCAAAGATAGTTGCCCCAAAGATACCACATGAGTATAACTTTCTCTGAGTATTTGTAAATTTTACTTGCCCAACAGCACCTATTTTTTTTTTTTTTTTTTTTTCTATACATTTCAAGGATTGGATGGCAATGACTTTTAGGAAAGAGTAATTTTTGCTTTTTTTTGGTGGGGGGGATAGGGAGAAGGTAAGCGCCTTAGAATTTTAGGATTTAATGGAATCTTTACAAATACCTAGTCCAACCTGCCATATGGTGGGATGACTCTCCCAGGGTTACACAGGTGCAGGGAGCACGGAGGGATCCCATCCTAGCACGTCCAGCTTTCAGATACCTTACCCTCACACTTTGATTATTAGGACTCTTCATATTTCCCCTATGCATGTATTCTGTTCTGAAGGGTGAATAGGATTTATGATGCTGGCCATAGTTTCTTAAACCAACCTTATTTTCCCTGCTTTATGCCCCAATAGCTAAAGCTCCATGGAGTAGAGATTCCTGAAAAGACAGACTATGAAATGGACAGCCAATTCCTCATGGAAATAATGGAAATCAATGAAAAACTAGTAGAAGCTCAAAGTGAAGCTGTGATAAAAGAAATTGAATCTATTGTCAGAGGTAAAAGATAAAGTCCCACAAATGCATTTTATTTCTATTATGAGTACATGTCCAGGGTTAAGTGAAAAATGAATCTAAGAGTACATACTGGTCATTATACTTATTTGGAGAGTTTTTTTTTCCCTTGATTATACCAAAACCAGTTTTGTCTAGAAGTTAGACTGGCAACGCCTCTAACTCTCTGGAATGCAGCCTTAAACCAAGAATGTAATCCTACTTTGTAGAATGGAATCCTTCCCACCCATAACATACTTTATATGACATTATTATCTCTGACAAGGAAAATAGACCTTAGGCATTCATGGGAATGCCTAAGATCATATTGCAGAGCAAAGATTAAAAAATCTGATTCCATATTGCTTTACTTTCCACTTTACACCATAGTGAATCAGTCAGGGTTCTCCAGAGAAACAGAACCGAGAGCATACATGTGTAAACATAAAGACAGAGAAAAAAGAGAAGAATTTATTTTAGGCAGTTGGCTCTATGATTGCAAGAGCTCAAGTCCAAAATATGTAGGGACAGACAGGCAGGCTGGAAACTCAGAGAGGACTTCTATGTTGGTCTCAAGATGGAATTCCTTCTCCAGGAAACCTCAGTTTTTGCTCATAATGCTTCAACTGCCCACCCACAATATTGAAGGTAATCTCCTTTAAAGTCAACTGATGGTAAATGTTCATCACAGCTACAAAATATCTTCACAGCAACGGACTAAACTGGGCACCACAGTTTAACCAAATTGATAACATAAAATTAACCATGCCAGGTAGAAAAGGCTCCAAAGTTCTCACTCTGATTGTACACACGTGTACCTCCACAGATGTTTAAGGCACTGATGCTGTGTGTCATGGTCTGTACGTAACACTGAGGGTGTGCAGCAGTGAACGAGAAAGACATGGCTGGTTCCTTCCTAGAGTTTATATATTGCAACTCAGTGTGTCCAGAATGGAATTCATGAGCATCTTCCCCCTCTTCCCAAAAAAACAGCCAGTTCCTCTGTGGACGTTCCTTTCTAAGTAAATGACAAGTCCAAAACGTAGACAAGGCATCCTTAACAACTTACTCTCCCTTGCTCCATGGACAATCCATCACCAAGTCTTGAAAAGCTGACCTTCTAAATGTGTCTTAGATCCATCCATCCATTTGTGTTTTCACTGCCACCACCCTATTCTAAGCTACTGGTCTCATCTGCACAATTGCGGTAGTTCTGAACTGGTCTACCTGTACCTTCAAACTAATATATTCCTACACTGTTACTTCTGTGTTCTCTCTTCTTTTTTTATTAAAGTATCCTTGATGTACAATCTTACATTGATTTCAAATACACAACACAGTAGTTCAACCTTACCCATCTTATCAAGTCCTCACCCCCTCTAGTGCAGTCACTGTCCGTCAATGTCGTAAGATGTTACAGAATCATTAACCATATTCTCTGTGCTGTACTACCGTCCCCATGACCAACCTGTACTGTGTGAATTATTGTGACCCTTAATCTCCTTCCCCTTATTCCTTCCCCACCCTTCCCGGCCCCTCCTCCTTGGTAACCACTCGTTCCTTCTCAGTGTCTGAGTCTACTGCTGTTTTGTTCCTTCTGTTTTGCTTTGTTTTTATACTCCACAAATAAGTGAAATCATTTGCTATTTGTCTTTCTCTGCCTGGCTTATTTCACTGGGCATAATACCCTCTAGATTCATCCATGTTGTTGCATATGGGAGGATTTTTCTTTTTATGGCTAAATAATATTCCATTGTGTATATGTACCACATCTTCTTTCCATTCATCTATTGATGGACACTTAGATTGCTTCCATATCTTGACTATTGCAAATACTTCTGTGATCTTTTGAAACTCAAATCATATTACCCTTAGTTTTGCTTAAAAATTTTAAGTGGCTTCCCAGTGCTCACTGGTTAAAGACCAAGCTCTTTAGCAAGGCTGACAAGGCCCCGCATGGTCTGGCCTCTGTTTTCTCCCACTTAATCCCTCCACTCTAGCCACACTGGCCATTTCCAGTTCTTCGTCTATACCAGGCTCCTTCCTACCCCCAGGGCCTTTGCACATGCCATTCTTGTGCCTGAAACCCCCTCCCCATCTAGTTCACTCTTCCTCCTTCAGATCTGGGGGCAGTCATCACTTCCTCAGAGAATCCTCAGAGAACCTCTCTGTCTATATCTCCTGCCAGTGGTTACCCCTCCTTTGTAGGACTAATCACAATTATAACCTTACTGTTCTATATGAAATTGTTTGACCAATATCAGCCTCTCCTTTTGGGCTGGAAATTCTGCAGAAGCAGAAATTATATCTGCTTTTTGCTTCCCTCACGTCCTCAGCACATGGAACAGTACTTGGAATATAACAGGGGCTCAGTAAATATTTATTAAATGAGTAAATACACGATGAACAAAGTTAAAAGCAACAAAATGGACATTGTGGTGGTGGGTAGTATCTTGATGCTAACAGCATTAAGGCTGCTGGTGTTGGATGAAGAGAAACTCGGGACTTGCAGTCAGAAGCCCCCCAGCTACACAACTTTGGAAGGCAGAGGATCATGATGCCCCGGGGTGTGGCAGCCTTGGGCACAGCCTCCACACTGACACTGAGTGCGTGTGGCCTTGAGCAAGTGGCTTCACCCCTCTGAGTCTCAGTTTCCTCTTCTGTAATATGCAGATAATACTCGTCCTGGCTGTTGCAAGGATTAAATCAAATGAGATAAGGCAGATAAAACACTTAACACAATGCCTGGCCCATTGTAAGTGCCCAATCAATGGCAGGGGTTACTCCAGCCCTTTGGTAAACATCTAAGTTTGAGCAGGTCACTGACCTTCATTTAGATTTCCTCCCCTCCAGGTACCTGCTAAGGTCCAGATTGGGTGAATGTTCAAGGTCACAGAACTAGTTAGTTTTGGGGTCAGGACTTGAGAGGCTGCAGACTCCTAGTCCAGTGTTCTCTTGTCAACATCGCATTGCTACCCTGAGAAGGGAGTTTCCAACCACTGTCTGGGAGTCTGGGGACTTGGGATCTGTTCCCGGCTCCTCCGCTCACCAACCTGAGACAATAGGACAGTCCCCCAGTACCTGTCATTGCCTGCCATGGGGAGATAATGTATTTGAAAGTGTTTTGAAAGCAGGCACCATATAAGTGGTTGATACTATTTATATCTGGAAAACACACTTGTTGTAAGATTCTTCATTTCCTAGTGGGCGAACAACAGAAACATGAGGTAGCAGCTCCTCTACCTCTTTTGACATCTTCTCTCTTAAGGAACAGTATGATCTAAATGTTTCATTTTGCCAGGAAGCTGTATAATTTGCAAGTGGTTGCCTGAAACACTCTGTAATGCCATGCGGACAGACATTTCTGACCTGCTAATTTTCCTGCTAAAATCTGGAAGCCTCAGACTGCTTGGGTGGAGATAATCAAGGCATGTCCTTGTCTTCTTTTTTTAAAATTCTACATCCATTTCGTGGGCCCTGGTGATTACGCCTCAGACCTTTCATGGGTAGAAAAACATAGTGTAACCAAGGTCAGCAACACTGTGCTAAATAGAAGTTGCCATTCTGAAACATGTAGAGACAGAGGTTATGAGGCCTTACCCTTGAATCCAAGCTCCCTGTTATGTTGTATTCAAACCAGAATGATTACAAAGTGTTTTCTTCCCATCATGAGTCCATTTAAATAGAAAAATTAAGATAATAATTTTCTCTTACAGCTAAACAGAAGGAATTGACTGACAATGTAAGCAGAGCTTTTGAACAAGGTACCTTCTTCGTTTCTTGACTTGCTTTAATATGGAAAGAATTGTAAGCACTGAGGTATGGACATCCTTCAGTATGTAGCTATTATATACCCATCCTATGATAGGTACATGGGGTGATACAAAATATGGATGAGTCTGCATTTCTGCCTTCAAGCTTTGGTCTTGCTGAAAAGACAAGCTCTGTGCCAAACAGTGATGTGCCAGGGAAAGGTTATATGAGAGAAAGTACTCGCGTTTCCCTTTAGCAAGTAGAAAATAAGGTGAAGGATGTCAGCTGAAGCCAACTCAGGCGACCCTGAGGGCGAGGCTGCAGGGCTGGCATTTGGTGAAGCCTGAGCACCCCCTTTCTTTCTCCTCTGCCTGAGAGGAGAGGCCAGTGGCAGAGCAGTGCCCAAATCACAAAAACAGAGTGCTCATCCGGGCCCCCACTGCTCCTGGGTCTCAGGTTGAAGAAATTGGAACTCTTTCTGGCTGTTTTTAAGCAAGAACAACCTTCGTCTCCATCCCTGACTTGTGCCACCCCTTAAATAAGGGGATGGTGGCCCTTTGGTTTAGGGATCATTTGATGGCCGGAAGCAGAATGCCACGCAAGCTAGCCGAGATTAGGGGGGTTATAAGGAATCAGGACTGTCTCCCAGAATGCAAGGAGAAAGTCCCTGTGATGACTATAAACAGTGTGCTGAGAGCTTTTCTGGGGCAGAACCTAGGAACCCGGAAGCACTCTGGAACGAGGACTCCGTTCCTGAGCTCAGTGCCCCTGGCAGCCCAGTCCCTCCTCTCCACTCTGTGAGACAGTTCCATCCATCTCTTTATTGGTGTACAATGCTCCAAAATGGCCTCCCCCGCTGGATGACTCCCTAGTACTCCTTGGTCTGTTACCTTCTAAGAGCAAGGCCTTTCGCCAACTGACTAGTCCCCTGGGCCCAATTCTAGATTCCTAGGAGAGGATATTTGACTCAACTTGAGCCAGATGTCCACTCCACTCCAGTCAGCTAGAGCCAAAGGTATAGGCTTACACAGTGGACCACCCAGTGTGCAGGACAGGGGGAGTCAGCTCAGAGACACAGGAAGGGAGATGGTCTCTAAAAAGATGTCGAGAAATACAGATTAACAGCAGAAAAGATAGGAACCCAGCTCAGCATGTCCCCAAACCACTGACTAAGACGATTAGATTATATTCTACCAGGGCCCTGCCCCAGCTCCTATTGCACTTTTGTATGTTTTTGTTTTTTAATTGTGAAAATGACTTTTAAAAAGAATAAAATACATAAGTACAATTTAAAGAATAATAAGAGAAGAACACCTATGGTCCCTACTACCCGGCCTAAGAGATAGAACATGCAAAGAAGATACACAGATGGCAGATAAGCACATGACAAGATGCTCGGCATCACTAGTCCTTACGGTAACGCAGGTCAAAATGAGATACCGCCTCACACCCATTAGGAGGGCTGCTATAAATAAGTGTTGGCGAGGGTGTGGAGAAGTTGGAACCCCTGTGCGTTATTGGGAAGAATGTGAAGTAGTGCAGCCAGTGTGGATAATAGTTTGGTGTTTCCTCAAAAAATTAAAAATAGAACTACCATACAGTCCAGCAATTCCACTTCTCATATATACCTAAAGAACTGACAGCATGGACTCAGATATTTGTGCATTTTCAAAGATAAACAAAGCCAGCTATTAGTTGAGGTGGGAAAGATAGATTTTAATCAGTAATAACTGTTATAATAGGGAAAAAAAGTCCGGTGTGAACCGAACTCTACTTGGACATGTAACTGGGCATTTTAAAGGGGGAGCACGAGTAGGGAGAGGGGGAGCACGAGTAGGGAGAGGGGGAGCATGGGCTCAGTCAAGTCCGAGAAGTGAAAAGTTACTAAAAGCTGGAAGGGGAGACTAGTCCTTGTGAAACCAAGCTGGGCTTGCTAACTGGGGTTTGTCAAAGTTGGACTCCTGTTCTCCCCCAGACACCGGGAGACGGGGGCCTTCAGGTGTTGGCTGGAACAAACAGTAAGAGAGAAACAGTAAGACAACTCTTCTGAACAACATTAAGTCCATTTCTTATTCAGTCGCCTTTTATTTATTAAAGACTAGCTGAACCATCTGTTGAAACTTGGTAATAGAAGATATTTGCTGGATGACGTGAGTGATCAGGCATTTAATGAGCATGTCTATGGAAACAAAAGGAAAACAAAGATGAATGGTTGGAGCAGACTATAAACTTTGTTTCTGATAAAGGGGCAGTTTCGGAATTGAGAAGACATTAGACTCTTCAGCACCTTTAGATGGTGGTGTAAGGACAGCGGTGGCAATCCGATGGATTCCTTGGTTTATAGTTTGAATGCCTGTGGTAATGGCATAGACATGGGTGTCACCATCATACCCGTGGAAGATGCAGGAGTTCTGGTGAACTTTCCGGGTGGCCCATATAGCAGCAAGCTCTAGACACAAAGGTTGCCCAACATGATTTGTTGTGGTGATGAGTTCTTTGAAGTTTATATCAAGTTGTCTAGCTTCAGCTTACAGGACGTACAGTTCCCAAGGGAAAGGGGCAGCCATAAGACAGCCTGTGTCCCCGTAAGGATCTGGGCAGTCAGGTTTTAATTCTCAGTGATGCCAAGTTAGGAAGGAAAGAGAAAAATGGGAACTATCAATTTGAGGAGCTGTAGCCAGATAGTGAAGGAAACTAGAAGAATTAAGAATTTGTTAAGGGCTGACAAATTTTAAGATAGCAGGAATCCAGTTCAATTCACAGGAAGATAAGAGAACCTCAGACAATGAACAGGACTAGATTCTGATAACCCACAGGGTATATGATATATGCTTTTCCATAGGTAATTGAAGTAAGATTACTCTTGTTTACAAAATAATTTTGGTTTCCTTAGATTTTATTGATGTAAGTGCAGTAAGAATGGCAATCAACCATACGAGCCCTTTTATGTTTTCTTTATGACGTTTTTATAAGGAATCTCAGATTGTACTTTAAAAGCCTCTCAATGCTAGGAAGTCAAGCCAAGATTTTGCCATCAGACTTCACCTATAGATTTGGGTGAATTCCTCTCTTCTCAAGGTCCCCAAAACATTCTAAGTTTCCTGGGCCTGCCAGGAAGTGACCTTCCTTACTCACCTGTAAGGCTGGGGAACCCTGTAAGCCAGATACCAGACTGTTTTTTTTTTTCAAGAAGGCTTTGTAAACATTGGCTCTGTGAAGTCAACCTTCATTTCTTAAAATTGGTCATATCTGGTTTTTTACATTATTTTCAAATATGACATCTAGTCAAAGCCTTGATGTTTAATTATGTTTTTAATACTTTTAATTATATCCTATCACAAAGACAACATTCTTACTGAACCTATGCAAATAACTATGTTGCCATGAAAATAAGAATATTCGATTTTTTGAGGGATCAGACGGAGGAAAAAATTTTTTGATTTTATTTACAAAATTAAAATTTACTAGATTGTGTTTAGTCATATATGACTTTAGAGAAAGGGGAAAGGGATTTTGTTATGTCTAGAAAATAGAACATGTGAGAACCAGCAATATTTTGAACAAAAAATATTAAAAATATAATCCTCCTTTATGAGTCTCAATCCCATGTAATTTTATTCTGCTTGATCTTGGGTTAGCAGTTTTATGAGCCTGTTGGCTTTTCATTAGAGTTTTGGAAATCTTCACTTAGTTTATTGGTTTGATCTCAGAGGTATTTAAGACATGTCATCAGAAACGTGTACTGCACAGTACCTGGGATGGTCCTTTTTTGTGGGTCTCCAAGACAGTCCCTTTTTGTTAAACATGAGTAGTGTAGCCTGTATTTGGTTGCAAGAGTTTTCAGAAAAGCATCAGAGTAAAACATCCGTGACTAATGAAAGACTTTAATGACCATAAAGGTCTGATGAGTTCATTATAAAAATACCACAATTGACCAAGAAGTTTGGTTGTTTCTGTGACATAAAACATTTTAAAATAATAACTGAACATTACACCGGGACCTATTATGGATAGTGAAGGCATTGACAAATTTCTAGGAACTTTATACAATTTCTGAAATAACATTTTGCCCATACAGTGCAGCCTAGGGAAGGTTACGTTCCTTTTCTTCGATGGTGCTTCCCGTGTAATTTAATATATCAGGCAAACCTGATTAATTTAATGTCTCTCTTTTTGTCAGATAAGAGAACAAATCCTTTGAGGTTTATCAGGGGTCCTCCTGGAAACTTCAAAGTCAGTTCAAGGTCAAGAACTCTTTAGGTAGAATTTGATTTGGGGAGATTGTCAAAAGGTTTGAATATTTAATTAAATAAGATCATAGGTCATTGTGAAATAATATTTAGTTGTCTATTTAACCAAAGTGGTGATAAAAGATTTCAAAGGCAAATAAAGGAGGAAACATGGAAAAATAAAAAAAAACTCTCAGCTGTTTGAACAGTGAGAAGACTTAGTTCTCTTAAGCAGTCAAGAACATGACAAAGACAACAACCATAATGCTCAGGAAATTATTTGATAAGGCAAAAACTAGGTTTCCTGGGCAGACTATGCAAAAGGTAAATTACTCTTCCCTTTTATCGCAACAAAAACACATTCTACACTCCTTGCATACATTTCACTAAAAAAACACATCCTGCTTCTCTCCCATTTGCAAAGTTGTTCCCTTTTACTCGTATTATTTAGTTTTGTTTTCATATTTTGACTATATATTTTAACCATTAGTAACCTTTAATTTACTAGAAAATTTAGAAGTAAACAATTAAGAACTATTATATGCTAGTGTTCTGTAGTAGATTACCATATTTTATGAATATACCATCTTATATCTCTAGAGATATTAATAGTCTTTTTTAATGTGGCAAAAATGTGTTTATTAACAGACCCAAATATCCTTGGCCACCCTGGCCATATAAAAATAAGAAGCCAAAGGCATATAAACTTAAGTTTAGGCTTAATGAATGTTTTGGCACTTTATCTTGTTTTTAAACTATTTAGATATTTAGTGAATATTTATTATTTAACTTAGCATAGCTCTAAGGTTTCCAGTTACCAAGAAGATTTTGGAAATAATTTTTAGGCAATATATTATAAAACTTGTTGAAATAAAGTTTGAATGATATAATTTGAATATCAAATTTATCATCTCTACAATCTTAAATATCTAGTAAATATAATATTAGTCTATTTAACTAGTAAACCCAAGTAGAATAAAAATGTATGTTACATTATATTTCATGTTAACAAATCCAAAGGCATAACTATTTTATTAAACCAGCAGTACCAAACTAATCTTATTTACTGAAGATTTACCCAAATTACTTGACATTGAAAATATTTGAGTTGGCTCCTATATCTATGGAAGTTTTAAGAAGATTTAATTTATGTAAGTGCTTATTTCTTTCTAAGCCAATTAGGATACAACTCCTTTTAGTAATATTATAAATTAATTTGGTAATACCATCTGGAGATAGGGAAATAACGTGTATATGCATATATATCACACATACATACACAAATAATACATAAGCATACAGACACAAATAGAGATCTTTCAGTTTTCATTTTAAAGTTTTAACCATAAAGTCACAACTGCTTTGTTCAATAGAGTTGGTTTTGTTCTTTCTTGCTTGAAATGAGCAAAGCCTCACATTAACATCTCTGTTTATTTCAGATGATTTTGAAAAAGCCAAGGAAATTTTAACAAAGATGAGATACTTTTCAAATGTAGAAGAAAAGATCAAGTTAAAGAAGATTCCCCTCTAATGGTTGCTAATCTAAAAGTTTTTAAAATAAAAGTTCTTGCATATTTCTTTTCTGGCTTCTGCTAATAAGACTAGTATGCTTTCACCACTAATGTCATCTTAATTAAGCCTGTGGCTTAAGCCTTAATGGATGGCAGATTTTGTCATGCCAGTGGAAACACAGCCTAGCCCGAGCCTGAGTGGCCAGTCCTTCATGGGATACTTGATAGACCATGTCCCCAGTCTAGGCCAGTGGATGAGGAGGTGGGGATGGGGCCAACTTGGGAATCTAAAGGGGTGGGCAAACTTGTTTTACAAAGGGCTACACCATAAATTCTTCACGTTTTTTGGACCATACTGCCTTGATTGTAACAACTGTGTCGTTGTAGCTTCACTTACAAAAGAAGCAATAGGCTAGAGTTGGCCATGGGGTCGTTAGCCTCTGCCCTAGAACGTCTTCTCGGTAAAGGCATGAACTTCACCGATGCCCTTGTTAGTACGGTCTTCATGGCTCTCTTTTTGGTAACCATGCAAAGTTGCCTTTGGACCTCTTCGGCCTACTTTTCAAAATGTAGATAATATTACGAAGATTTAGTCTGGTATTAAACCCCAGCAACATTTTCAGCTCCACCTTGGTGGCATGGAGCAGTTTTAATTTCTCCCTGGACAGTTGACACTCTCTCGTCGTGATTTCTCTGCCTCTCTAATCCAGCCCAAAGCAGTTCTACTTCCCCTTCTGGATTTTTGGAAATTGAGTTTAAGTTCTTGATTCATTTCCAGAAGAAAACCTCTTAAGCTCTCTGGATCAAGGGAGATTAAAATAGAAAATCTGATTTTCAAAATTGCAAGGAATAACTCTTGGAGGGAAATGCTTGGTTATAATTGAAGAAAAATCAAGGTTCTGAACCAAGGTTTGAATAATACTAGAGTTTAAAACTGCAGTTCCTTTGCATCCTCTCATCGTTGATTAAGGATTTGTATCTTGAGAATCCTGATCTTGTTATAGCAGTTACCGTTTTAGGATTTATGGATCTTCTAAAGGCAGATAAACCACAGCAGCTGTCTGGCTTAATAGTATTTAGGAGTGTCAGTACAGTCTCCAACTCCTTTACAGCTTACCAGGAGAATCAGTTACTTGTCTGAAAACACACAGGGAGCCCTTTAAATAAATAACTACAATGCAAGAAATGTCCTGATTTAATTGGGTGCTTCTGCAAAGAAAGGAAGAGATGAAAGCATTGTTTGAAATATTTCTGTGGACAGTCTTCATTCCTTCCTCAGAACAGTGATCAAGAACAAAACAATCTGGCCACAAAAAGAAATCAGATAAACATTGCCTCACACATCATCTTTGGAGGCACTTCAGAGAAACTTTCCCTTACCTGTTGCCATCAGGAAGGGCCACTGGGTCTCCCAGCAAACTATTTCTGATTTAGGAAATAAATGAACAAAGACCTTCTTTCTGAGTCAGTGGAATTACTTTTTTTTATCCTGTCTTCCAAAGTCTTTTCCTTCTAGTCTAACCGTCAAGTTTAGCTGGACTTCCAAATCCAGGAACCCTTTCAAGTTTCTTTGACAGAGCCCTATAAGAGGTGTGCTTCTAGACATGTGAAAGGTTAGCAGCCCATTTGGATTAAAGTTTCTGATCAAGTGAAGCAAGTTAGCCCCCACGTCCCTCCCGACATCGTTCCTCAGACAGTGTCAGAACAGATCAGTGGTTTTGACTAATTTGTGACTATTTCTTCTCAGGCTCTGTTGTCAGGCCTGGTGTTATGGACTGGATTTGTGTGTCCCCCCCCTCCACCCCCTAAATTCATATGTTGAAGCCCTAAGCCCCCGTGTGGCTGTATTTAGAGATGGTAAGGAAGTTAGGCAGGTTTAAATGAGGTCATAAAGATGGGGCCCTAATCCCATGAGGTTAGCATCCTTATAAGAAAAGACACCAGAGAGCTCCCTCCCTCTCTCTGCACTCATGCCCTGGGGAAAGGCCATGTGAGAAAGCCAGAGAAGGCGGCCTTTGACAATCCAGGAAGGGACTCCTCACTGAAAACAAACCAGCCACGCTGGCACCTTAATCTTGGACTTAAAGCCTCCACACTGAAAAAAACTAGCTTCTGTTGTTTAAGCCACCCAGGCTATGGTATTTTGTTATGCAGCTGGAGCAGACTTATACATCTGGGTTTGAATTCCAACTCTGCCTTTCATTTGCTGTGAGTCCACTGTTGTGCTAAGCTTCATTTCCTCATCTTTAAAATAGTAATAAAAATAGTAACTGTCCCCCAGGGTTGTTGTGAAGATTAAGTGAAATAAATCATCTATGCAAATTGCTTAACACAGTGTATGGCACGTAATAAGTACTCAAATGTGATTTTTTAATTTATGACCACTTTTCAAAGTCATGCCTTTCACTTGAGAGTAAATATTATCCTTTCAACAAAGTTTCAAGCAGCTACTTTGTGTAAAAGAACGCTCAGCCCTGGAAGAGAGATGTACAACAAGTAGATGCTTCCTGTCTGTCTGGGGAGAGGACTCTTATATCAATAACCAAAACAATAATAAAAGTTCCCATTTGCTGCATAGTGTGTGCCAGGCACCTGGTACTTTGCATGATTCCATCAAATTAAACCCAATTCAACTCACTTTATAGTTGAAGAAACAAGCTTCCAGAACATAAGAGAGTCAAGGGCTGGGACTCAAACTCAGGTCTGTCGACAAAGCCTATGCTCTTAGGGAGGCTGAACCCACCAGATTAAGTAGCAGCCAAAGTAGTTAAGCAATTTGTACACGGGAGCCCATTTACCGGGGCCTGCACCATGCCACACAGAGGCAGGATTTGAGAGTCCCCATTTTCAAAGCCTGTGCATACAGCTGTGCTGGGCATAGGAATGGATTGCTCCCAGGTCTACGCAGGGAGGAAGGCTTCAGGGAAGAGGTGGAGCAGAATCCAAACAAGTAGAGAGAAGCTATGTCAGGTGCCCCCAAACCACCCCCAGGTTCAGTGACTCACTAGAACTCACAGGACTCAGTATATAGTTCCTACTTCTGGCTCCGATTTATTGCATGTGAAAGGATACAAGCTGACTCAAAGGAAGTCACATGGGATGAAGTCCACTGCAAACCAGGTGCAAGCACCCAAGGTCCTTCTCATGCAGTCACACAGGCCACGCTTCATTCCCTCAGCAACAAGTCATGACAACACGTGAGAGTGTCATCTGTAAGGGAAGCTCATGAGAGACTCCTTCAGAATATTTCTTGGAAACTGGTCACATAAGCAGTCTTTGCCTAGCATGTGTCAGAATTTCAGACTCCCAGAAGGGAAACAGGTATCCAGCATAAATGGCATTGTTTCTACAAACAATTTAGGCACAGTGGGCCCCTCTTATCAGTTCTGGAAATAGGGACACCCTCCCTAAATCCAAATTCCCAAACGCCAGCCTAAGGGCCAACGGTCGTCAGCAGCTCTTTCTCAGGATATGCAGTCTCAGGGCTGCTGTGCTGACTCTTTGCACAGAAACCAAGGGGAGCTCCCTTCACAGCTGAAGTAATTATATAATAAATAATCTCTAACCAGAGAGGAAGGCACCTCTGTTGCTAAAGGGCTTTTTCCTGTCTCTGGCTGTCACCAAAGAGAAAGAGGCTGTTCTCTGAGTCAGCACAACAGTCATGCCACCTAAGTGTGTTCAGTGGCAAGGGACGAATAGCTGCAACAGACTGGGACCTAAAGCTTTGCTTTGATGAAGAATTCCTTGGGTTCTGCCACTTACTGTGACATGTTGGATCTATCAGAGGTGGCCAGGTGAAAAAACAAAGACCAGATACCACCTTCTCCTTTCCAGGGGTCACTGTTAGGAGGCAAGAGGGACTCAGAAACAAATCATCAGAGTACAAAGGGGTAAGGGCTCTGGGCACCAGGGAAGGTGGTGCAGGTGGGTGGAGAGGGGCAAGATCTTTGAGGAGATGGCATGCGTGGGCCCCGTCTCAAAGACGGTGAGGAGGGGAGGGCACCCCTGACCGGTAACTGCTGATCACCAGATTCTGACACTGTGGACAATCTCCTGATTTTTTTTCAAGAGAAGCTGGAATTGGGATTTTAACAGGAAATTTCCCTGTGGCTGCCAGAAAGTACCAACCAGTCAACAGCCAGCTCAGCTGGTGAAGGGGCTGGGCTTTGCCAGGGAGGCAATATAAAACAGTAAAGTAAAAAAATGACACAGAGCTTACCCAGTGAACCAAGGAAGGAAGAAGTTAGTTACAAGTTATATTTGTGATACCACAGATTTCACAGAACTGGGTTTAACAGCTGGTGCTTCCTCTTACTCAGTGTGACCTTGAGCAATCAACTTGTCTTAAGTTTCAGTTTTCTCATCTGTAAAGTGTGGATAACGGTAGCACCACCCTCAGTCATGAGGAGGTATGTAGATGACACCAGGGGTGAAGAGTATATAGAAAAGGCACACAGAGTGCTTAGCACAAAGCCTGGCACCACACTCAGCAAGTATTAATAGAAAGCACAAGTTGGGATGAGAGCAGAGAGGAGGGGTCCCTGACCTCATCCTGGGGTTAGGGATGGAATCATGGAAGCTTTCTGGAGGCAGTACCCCATGAGCTAAGTCTTAAAGGAAAAGAGGACATAGGGCGTTTTCAGATAGGTAAACAGGAGAGATGGCATGCAAGCGAAGAAGAATCTTACTGCAGTGGGGTTGAGGGTGGCAGAGTCCTGAATGCAGAGCTTCCGTGCTCCCCACCCCAAGGAATGAGGGCACATCACCTCCACCCCTCCAGCGCATCAATGTGTTCACCAACTGGGAAGCTCCCCTGGGCTTTAGTATCGGGAAACAGGCAGCCAGGTGAGGAGGAGCAGACCCTGCAGACAGGGAGAGCTGTCTGAGGACTTGGGGAGAGTTGGGAGGTGATGGTTCCTGAACTAAGGCAGCGTTGTGATGAGGGAGAAAGTGGACAGAATCAAGAGCCTTGTAGGAGATGGGCTTGTCAGTACCTGGGAACATACTGGATATAGTGAGGGCTCTGGCGTCGGCTGTGGGGAATGCAGAGGCCTTGTCCAAGGAACAGGAGCTGCAGCTTGGTGGGGGCTGAGGAGGGGCTGGGCTCCCTTCCGGACAGGTTGTGCTGGAGTCCTTGGACCTCCAATAGATGTTCAACAGGCAACCGGAGGATAGCTTGCAGCTGAGGGAGAAGGTCCGGGCAGGAGACGGAGAGCTAGTGACTGGGCATTGCACTAGCACTTTACAGTCTTCTCACTGGATCCTCAAATTGACCCTTTTAGGCAGGAACTATCATCCTCACTTCACAGATGGAGAAAGTAAAGCTTTGAATGGCAAAGTAGCTCTTCCAAGTTCACTAAGTAACACTTTAGGGGAAAACCAAACTCACATCCTTAACTTCAGAAAAGGGTATATGCCTAGGAGAGGAATTGCTAGGTCATACGATAACCCTAGGTTTAATCTGTCAAAGAACTGCCAAACTGTTTTCCAAAGTGGTTGTACCATTTACAATCTCAATCTCACCAGCAGTGTATGAAGGCTCCAATTTTTCCACATCCTTGTTAACACATGTGATTGTCTATCTTTTTAATTTTAGCCATCCTAGTAGGCATAAAGTGATATCTTACCGTAGTTTTGATTTGTGTTTCTGACTAGTAACGTCGAGCATATTTTAATTAAATTACTAGCCATTTGTAAACCTTTTTTGAATAAATATCTATTCACATCCTGTGTCCATTTAAAAACTGGGCTGTCTTTTTATCATTGAGTTGTATGGATTTTTTCATATATTCTGAATATAAATCCCTTACTGGATATATTATTTTCTCCCATTTTATAAGTTATCTTTTCACTTTCTTGACTATATTCTTTGAAGCACAAAAGTGTTAAATTTTGAAGAAGCCCAATTTAGCAATCTTCTTTTTCATTACTTATGCTTTTGGTGTTATATCTAAAGTCATTACCCAAATATTTACCCAAGGTCAAAAATATTCAGAGTTTTATGTTCTTAGCTCTGACATTTAGGTTGATACTCCATTTTGCATTAATTTTTATGTGCTGTGAGGCAGGGCCTCAACCTCATTCTTTCGCCTGTGGCTATCCATTTGTTCCCATGTCATTTGTTGAAAAGTCTAATCTTTCCCCCCATTGTTGAGAATCAGTTGGTCATAAATGTGAGGGAATATTTCTGAATTCTTATTTCTATTTCACTGATCTATGTCTGTCCTTATGCCAGTCCCACTGTTTTGAAATTGGAAAGTGTGTTGAGAATACAACCAGTGTATTGACTCAAGAATATGCAGATTATACTGTCCTCTACGTACGGAGATCTGAGAAGAAAAATTCAGATTATGACCTGCTGAACGAGGGGACATAAGCCACACACAAAGATCAGCAGGTAGCTCCCTCAGGAGATGGGACCGTTAGGACTTGGTGACATACTGGCTCTGGTGTGTGC